AAATACTAATTTGTCGTCTAAACTCGTTTTCGCAATTTGGTCATATTATCAGGGCGATTTAGAGGAACACATCTCGTTCCAACGTAGCACCGTGCTCTTGGTACGTTTCCAGACGTTTCACTGACATTGTAGTCAACATTGTCAGTAAGAATTTCCAGTCTTAGTACCACACTACTACTTGTAATAGAGATAAGTACAGTGGATCCTTTGACTAACTATCTGTCGGACAGTTGTTGTATCTTTCATTCTGTCCTGGTTCATTTACCTTTTTTATAACCCTTTTGCTATCACAATTGCTTACTTGCCTAATTAAACCTAGTTCAGATGTGCTCTTTTGAGCGGATTTAGTGAGACATATTCACACTTCCCGTTAGTTCACTCGTCCCTCGACATCCAGAATGTTGATCCGGGTAAATCTTGGGGTTAATCCTTTAACCATGCATTGTTAGACAACTATCTCTGGTCCTCGCCCAATCTCTCGCACTTCTATCCATATTGCCATGTCTATGAGTTTCCTATTAAATAGTCTCTTGTGTGCCAAGAAGAATGCGATCCTACCAAAGCCACACCACCCTGTTCTTCACGCTTGCGATTAAAATTAACGATAGTTTTGTAGGCTACTTATATATTAAATAATAGAACAGCTTAAGAGATCATTCCAGAAATTATGTTGTCTGGCATAAAATGGCAAAGGAAGAAAACTTTACAATACATTATAGATTTAAGGAATGATTCAATAGAAGTATAGAACTGTACATTACGCCACGCAGATAGGTCTAGAAGAAATCCCAGAAACATTACATTCTTTTGGATCCCATAAATGAAGACCAAGGTGCTATGGCCTTAGGTTCATTTGCTGTCTCCTTTGGGTTGTATAGTGTTGGCTTGATCTTGTTTTGATAAATTAGTCGGAGCCAAAGGGAAGAGAGCCACGAACATTGCTACATATGATGCTGGAACAATGCTGGTCTACTAAGTATACAATGTGGCTCATCTCAAATTTAATAGGTTTGTTCACATTTAGGAGTTCATGAAGTTCCTTCTTCCATAATATGAATATCTTCTACTCTAATTTCATTTCAGTTCACCTCATCTCACTATAATAACTACTTCCATTATTTTAGGCGATTTTTCTTTGACTATAAAAGGCGTAAATCGATAATTGCCTCACAACAAATCTTGATTCATACCTATTATTCATTGTTTATCTTATTATAAAAGGCCAACGCTCAAAATTCTTCAACTGTCTGATCCAAAGTAAATAAATTTAATAAGTGTTTCATGCATTTATTGAATATCTATTTCATTTTTCATAATCAAACAATGTGGCCAGGCCTCATATTAGATCTCTTTACCATTTGGCAAATAAAGTGAAGTAAGCATAGTCCAAGGTATAATCTTCTTTATCTGTGGATGGTTGTCAGATGATCAAGCTTCTTCAGCCGCAAACGCTGATCGCCAAATATTTCCTTCGGGGGCACGTGTCGATCTACGGCCTGGGCAGCCAATTACAACCAACTGGCACTTCCGTTCTCAGCCCGACTATCCTGTGGACTTGTATTTCCTAATTGACCTAAGCTACACAATGCGTGATGATTTGGAGACGGTGTCTAAGCTCACTGCTGACATCGCGAGGGAGATGAGCGGCGTGACGCGCGATCTGCGCATCGGCTTTGGCGCATTTGTTGACAAGCCATTCTTTCCATTCGTGGTACCTACTCGCAGCTACTTGTTAAACCCATGCCAGGGCGTGGGCGAGGAGCAGGTCATTTGTGATCCGCCCTTCTTGTTCAAGCATATCCTCTCCTTGACCAGTAACTTCGAAGAATTCCGCAGGAAAACCATCCTATCGAGGGTAAAATAGATTTAAACAAATTATGATATTTCATATACCTGTCACAGTTCAAAATTTATGTAAAGCTGAATAAATTCAGCAATGAATCAATTAAATCTTCAGCGAATTTAGGTTGTACTTCAGTGACCAGCTCTGTCCTTCTGTCAGTTTCATAGACAAGTTAGTTTTTGGTTTTAACACGCCTCGTCTCAACTGCTCACAATAAAAAGTATCTAAGACACTTTACCATTTAATAAATTCCATCGGCAGGTGGAATCTTCTGTGAAAGGATGTATAACATTACTTTATCATATATAGCTAATAGGTTAATAGAAGCTTAATAGAATAAAACTCTGGCATACTTTGACAAATTAGTTATGTTGCCATTTGATTCAGGTATACTTAGTTTGACTAACAGGATTTAAAAACCTAATATATGACTTTACTGATTACTTTTGAGAATTATTTTTTAACTTTAATAGTATACAAAATACCAATTATGAGGCCTTAGATACGAATGCCTGCAAAAGCCATTCAGCTAGACAAAATAAGAAAAAATACAAAAAAGTTAGGA